GCTCTGGTAGCATAGTGGCTAAGACACTTGCCTGCTAACCAGACGGCTGGCGGTTCAAACCCACCAGCCACTTCTCGGAAGGAAGGTTGGGCAATCCTACTTTCGTAGTGATACTGCTTCGGAAACCCAAGGAGGGGTCGCTATGAGTCAGGGCCGACTCGACGGCACATAACAACAACAACAACAACAAGGATTTTTTAAACTCTTAAAATTTTTAAAGGTTTTTTTGAAATCTACTATCAATGTTGAATTTTATCAAATATCTTTTTAATATCTATCTTATTGATTAGAAGTGTTTGTTCCTTGACATTAATATGATGTATTATATTAGTGGAACCCCTAACATTAGAAGAATCTGGAATAAATTTCACTTAGTCATAGTACATTATTCTTGCATTGCTGAATTCCATTAGCTAATAAATTTATTTTATCTATTTCATCATCATTAATAAATTATCTTTATTATAATTTTCTTTCATGTACTTTTTCAGGTTTTAGTCTCAATGATTTGGTAGCTTTGTAAAAGTAATCAGAAAGCTTTTCTCTTTTCTGTTCTTGCAAACAGTTTTAGTAGCCTTTAAAAATACTTAAGTGCTAGAGATTTGAAAAAACTCACCTATGGAACCATCAGGGCCTGGAGTTATTTTGGGGCAAAGCTTTTTATCAACTTTTTCTACGTTAATTGAGAAAACTTGGCTGCACATTAGAATTACCTAGGAAGTTTATAAAAATACTGAATCTTGGATAAGTTCTGTTTTAATTGGTCTTATATGCAGCCTGGGCATCAGAATTTTTAAAACTTCCCCAGGAGTTGGACATGGTAAATGGGGAGTGAAACTAAATGTACACGTAATGTTGAATATAAAACAAGCTCTTAAAATAAAAAATAAATAAATAAAATCTTCCCCAAGAGACCAGAATATGAAGCCAAGATTCAGAACTTTGTTTTCATTTCTATCTTTTCCTCAGTAAATATTAAAACCCCATAACCCATTGACCTTGAGTCAATTCCAATTCATATCAACCCTGTAAGACAGAATAGAGCTGCCCAATACAGTTTATAAGGCTATAAATCTTTGTAGAAGTAGACTGCCACATCTTTCTACCACAGACAGCCTGGTGAGTTCCTACTGCTGACCTTCTGGTTAACAGGCAAGTGCTTAATCACTTAATCATATTTACTTCAGTAAATATTAATGATTTATATTTACCTAGAATATTATCTATTTCTTCCAAATTCATTGTCATAGAGATTTGCAAAGTACTCTTGTATAATTATTTTTATTTTCTTTGTGGCTGTGTTGTGTCTCTTTTTTAAATTATGAATTGATATATTTGAGCTTTCTTCCCCCTCACCTCATTTTGTTGTTGTCGTTAGATAGGTTTGTCTATTTTATTGCCTTTTTCAGAGAACCAGTTCTTGAATTCATTATCAATTTTACACTTCTTCTGTTTTCTTATTCAATAATTTCTGCTTTGATTTTTACTAAATTCTTCTTTTGGTCTTCATTAGATGAATTTTGTTTATCCGCTTCTAACTTCTTGAGCTATTTTATTTTGCTTTGTTTCATTATTTTTTATTTTTCATTATTTGTTTTATTATTTTTTGTTAAGTAATAAACATATTCAAGCTATTAACTTTTCCTCTAACAAATAACTATATAAACTATATATTACCATATACTTTTTCTTTTCAGTTTTTTTTAGATAATCTGTAATTACTGTTTTCATTTCCTATCTGATCCAAGAGGTGTTTTTCAGAGGGCTTTTTGTTTACCTCAATTTTCAAGTAATTTTTTTTTTTTTTTAATAATCACGTCTTACAAATTTTTCATGACAGTTTATTATTGTTACAGAATTGCTTCTGAATTGGCTAGACAATCCTTTTAAAACATCTGCTTGATCTGATTTAATTGAATGTGCAGAACACCAAGCACTTATAAAAAGAGAAGCAACTGTTCTATTGGGTTTAATAAGCAGAGAAAGAAGTGGCACCAGCTCTCCTTCTATCCAAGGCAGGATGAGCTTCTACTTTGAGCTTTCTTCTTGGGAATGAAGTGGTTGAGGGAATGCACTATCCAAAGAATGGATGTTTTATGTCAGGCGCAGATCCCAGGTGTATGAACAGAACTAAACCCTTTTTTTGTGTTTCCCTTACATACTTCTATCAGAAGAGAGTCCAAACTAAGGCTATTACATTAGGCAAGGGTCAGCAAACTTTTCTATAAAGGGCCGGATAGTAAATACCCAGCAGTGTGGACTGGATTGCTAATATTGCATGTGTCATACTTATATAAAAAATTATTCATTATTTATAGTAAATTCAAATTTAGCTGGGTGTCTTGTATTTTTATTTGCTAAATCTGTCAACCCTATTTGCAGGCCATATGGTCTCTATGGGGGCTACCCTACTCTGCCATTATAGTAGGAAAACAATCAGACAACACATGAATGAATGGATATGGCTGTATTTCAATTAAATTCTGTTGTCCATATTTGGCATGAGGGCCATAGTTTGTACATCTTTGCACTAAACCAGTAGTTTCCCAACTTTTAGCCTGCATCAGAATCACATGGAGCCCTTGTTACAACACTGATTGCTGGGCCTCATCCCCAGAGTTTGTGATTCAGTAGATCTGGGTTAAGGCCTAACACTTGGTATTTCTAACAAGTTCCCAAGTGATCCTGCTGCTAGTGGCACTTTGGGTGCCACTGCATTACAAGAAATGTCTTACTGTCTTTTTATTCCTAAAATGCACACAGAGGAATATAAAGCAAACAAACAAACAAAACCCATACTCACTGCCATCAACTTGATCCCGACTCATAGCGACCCTTCCTTGGGTTTCCAAGGCGGTATCTCTATGGAAGTAGATTACCCAATCTTCCTTCCAAGGAGTGTCTTGTGGATTTGAACCGCCAACCTTCTGGTTAGCAGTCAGATGCCTTAGGCCCTACCAGAGGAATATAGGCATATTAATTACTATTCATTCAAAGAGTTTATCAATCTTATGAGATAAAAAATTTTAAATACTGAAATTTCAATATTCTCACAGCAGTTCTTCCTGACCAGCAAGGTCTCTGTACTACATATATTGCAAATTTGGACTAATTACAAAAAGTCACTTGCTCTCCGGGAAGAATTGGAAAAAGCCACCAGTTCCTCTGAACTCACACAACACCCCCTTACCAGGGCACATAGCTTTGTGGGTGAGCACAGGCTGAATTTTCAGCATCCACTATTCCTTTCAGGAACCTTTACACAGTGTACAAACCACTCCACCAATTCTGGCAGCCCTGCTGACCAGAAGAATGTTCTTTTCTCCAATTTACTTAATAAAAATAATATCTTCTGAATCTAAAATATTCACTAAGAATTTACTTCTTTTCTTCAAGTGAAAAAAAGAAAAAAATACTCTTAAGGAAAATCTCATACCACAAGCTGACATCTGTTCTCTTTTCTTTATAGCTCAAGGGGAGAAAATCATAAACAGAATTTTAAGAAATCTGTCATATAGTTATAAATATCTGGTTTTAGTGTAATAAAAACAGTTTGAACTATTTTGGTTCTTTGGAATTTTAGAATATAAAGTTCTCCTTATACGCTAGTAAATTGACAGTGTTTTGTAAATGTTCCATGACTCTTTAAAAGAAGGCATGTTTTCTGCTTGGAGTGGCTAGAGTTTGAAAGAGTTCTACCATATAAATGGACCCTTTTAAAATATATTATCTACATATTATATGCATGCTCTGTATTCCTACTTATCCCTCTGAACTACCATCTTGAAGTGTAGTATAATCCCATGAAGGCCAGGAGGGACCTTTCTTGTATGCTCTTGTATCCCTAGTACTATATTTGGAATAGTGTATGCACTCATTTATTAAGTGATAAACCTTTTTTTGGCCGTAAAATCTGGTGATGTACAATTGTCCTCAGTGCCCCATTCAAATAAAAAATGAGTTTTTATCCTTTTCCTTTCTCCCAATTGGGCTTGTAACAACAGATCCTTCAATCTGGAATCAGCTGTAATTGCTGCATTTCTTCATGAAGATACCCACTAAAGCTCCTGTGGTAGGTTCCACTCAAAGCTTGTGTTAGGATTAAAGGCTTTTAAATTATAAACACAGAAAAACAAAGACTGACAGAAATTAACTAAAACATTAGTGATTTCTCTCTGGGTGATTATATTTTTTTTATTTTAGTTTTGCTTTTTGCCATTTTCCACACACTTTATAATGAGAAGGCAATATTTTTATTGTTAAAAGAACAATGACAATCTTTCATTAGAAAAATCAGTCATTTTTTTTCTCTGATATTTCCACTCTCTGGCTTGAGTTCTACTCATGGAGTTTATACAGAAAAAGCAAATTCTCTCTTCTGGATTGAAACCACTTAGTGTTTGAAAAGACCACTTAAGATTCTCCCAGTGTTGTCCCTTTAAAATTTTCTTCACTGGTTGTCACATAATTGCTAGACCCTTCACCATCCTGTTTGCCTCTGAACACAGCCACATTGGTGGGTAATCATTTAAAACAGAAGGCCTAGAGCAGGATATAGAAGCTCTGGTAATGTAGTGCCTAAGGCATTTGACTGCTAACCAGAAGGCTGGCGGTTCAAACCCACCAGCCACTCCTTGGAAGGAAGGTTGGGCAACCTACTTCCATAGTGATATCCCCTTGGAAACCCAAGGAGGGGTCACTGTGTGTCGGATCCGACTCCACAGCAGTGGGATTAGTTTGGTTTTTTGGAGAGCAGGATACAATATTGACCCAAAGTACAATAGACCCACTTTTGGTTTATAAGATGGTTCTATTATTGCAGCCTGCATTAGGACCATTATTTTCAGTGCACATGGCACTACTAATTCACATGGAATTTACTGATATTTCTGTCTTGTTCCTCCATTTGCTGCCAATCTCTGTTTTTGCACAAAGGTTAAGCAAAGGAACACCTATACAGTTATCTCCCCAGTGCTTTTCCTATCATTTCTCTTCAACAGGCCTCAGATGATGGACCTCAAGAACAGCAGCACAGTGACAAACTTTATCCTCGTGGGCTTTGAGCAGAGCAGCCCTTCCACTCGGAAAATGTTCTTTGCCCTCTTCCTAACCCTCTACAGCCTAGCCATGGCCATGAATGGCCTCATCATCTTCATCACCTGGACAGACCCCAGGCTCAACAGTCCCATGTACTTCTTCCTTGGACACTTGTCCTTCCTGGATGTCTGTTTCATCACCACCACCATCCCACAGATGCTGGTCCACCTGGTGGTCAAGAACCACAATGTCTCCTTTGCCTCCTGCTTGATGCAGATGTACTTAGTTTTCGGTGTGGGTGTAGCTGAATGTATCCTGTTGGCTTTTATGGCCTATGACCGTTATGTTGCTATCTGCCACCCACTTAGCTATGCCCAGATCATGAGCCAGCAGGTCTGTGTGAGGCTGGTAGGTACTGCCTGGTTCTTTGGGATGATCAATGGCATCCTTCTTGATTATATGACCTTTCGTGGTCCATTCTGTAGAGACAACCATATAGAAAACTTCTTCTGCGAGGCTCCCATAGTGATCACCCTTTCTTGTGGGGACCAACAGTTTAGTCTGATGGTGATCTTTGCTGATGCCGTTGTGGTGCTGCTCAGCCCCATGGTGCTCATCGTCATCTCCTATGCCCGCATCCTGGCCTCCATCCTTGGCAGAGCCTCCTCCTCTGGTCGGGGGAAGACCTTCTCCACTTGCACCTCCCACCTGACTGTAGTCATCTTCTTCTACACCTCAGCCATGTTCTCTTACATGAACCCCCGCAGCACACATGGGCCTGACAAGGACAAGCCTTTCTCTCTCCTCTACACCATCATCACCCCCATGTGCAACCCCATCATCTACAGTTTCCGTAACAAGGAAATGAAGGGGGCAATGATGAGATCCCTGGGAAGAACCAGCCCAGCCAAAGCAGATTCTGTCTAGCAGGAAGAGTCGTGGAGGGGAAATTTCTTCCCTAAAGATTGACCAGCCCTGGCAGGTGGACAACTCTCCAGCAAGAGCATTTGTGGCTTCCTTTGTTTCATCATCAGACCTGAAGTGCCTTTCAATGTCTCATGCTTATCTCTCTGACTTCACTTAAAACACAGATTGAGTTTTGCACCTTTTCTTAATAATATATTTTCATGATAAGAGTGACAAGTATAATGGATTGGGGAATTTTATTCCAGAATTTGGACAAAAGAATGCTGCTTCTCGAGTAAAAGCCATTGAAAAGGCTGACCAGACCATTTTTTTCTAGAGAACTGCTTTCCAGGAGTAAAGTCTATTATTGGGAGCTCTGGATTGGGGAAAAGAGCAGATTGAGAGCCACAAGAGAAACAAAGAGATGCATGGAAGTCAGGAGAAGGCTAGGGGGCTGGGAACTGAGCTGTGAGGTATGTGATATCATCCCTATATGGTTCTCCTATATTCTTCAAGAAAGTTCCCAAAACCAGCAAGAGGAGGAAATTTATGCCAAATATGTGTGGATTAATGGGGAGGATGGAGGACAGAGGGAAGCACTAGTGTCTTAGATTTATAAATTGGAGGTGGAAGTTATAACAAAATCTCCCAGAGTCAAGGAAGCTTCTTATGACATCTTCATTGTACAGGAACATGACAAAAGTACTTCATATTATTTTCACGTTTATTTGCATCTACTTGAATATTTTGCCACTAGCCTGGATGCATGTTGAGCAATTTAAATGTCTCTTATATAAGAATAGAGATTGCTCCCTGTCTCTTATTTGACTTACAATGCATTCACATTCCCTGAGACGCTCTACTTTCATCTCTAACTTTCTCTACTGCTTCTATACATTTAATTATCATCTAGACCAGTGGTTCTCAACAGGGGATATTTGGCAATGTCTGAAGAAAGTTTTTAATTGTCACAATTTAAGGAGGGAGTATGCTACTGGCATCTAGTGGATAGAGTGCAGGGATGCAGCTACAATGCACAGGACATCCTACAATGCATAAGGCAATCCCCCACAACAAAGAATTATGTGACCCAAAATGTCAGTAATACAGAGATTGAGAAACTCTAGTCTAGAGAAAGAAGTGTTAAAAGGACAGAAACAGGCAAATGACAAAAAGTAGTAATATGAGGATAGAAGAGACAGAAAGAAACAAAGAGAAAAATAGGTTGCCAAATTCCATCTGAAAAGCCACTTCTGATTACCTGTGGGCAGGATTTCTGCTGGCACTGCAATGACAAGCAGCATTCTATTAATAAAACTTTCTCTAAAGTTTTTGTGTTTGTCTCTGTCTGATCCTATACCTACAATTAATAGAACTTTCCCTGTCCAACTATGTCCTTCCCTCTGCCACTAGCATGGACTCCTACTTACTTTCTGCGCCTTACTTTTTGTTAGCTTAGACAAAACCTTATCTACCCAGCAGTCATCCCTCCTTTGTCCCACCAATTTGACATTCCAGTCTGACTCAGTCCCACCCCTCTCTACCCCTGCTCTTTTGCAAAGGGGCTTCTCCAAATACCATTCTGTGCAGAATATGGAAGCTTTGTGTCCCCTTGGGGGAATATACACTAAATTTCAACACTTTTTCTCATTCACTTCACCAATCTTCTTTCTTCTTCCAATGCCTAACTTTCTTCCAGAGAACATTAAACTTAAGTAACCTTCTCAAATATACAGAAAATTTTAATAGAATAAGGACGTATAAAACACCAATAGAATATCGTATTGCAAAAAGGCATGGTAGCAACATCCTCTGACCTCCTCTAACTTCATGAGGAGAGAAAATCATCATTAGAAGCTGAAGGCTTATTTGTGTGAGGCTGAGGTCAGACATGCTACCACCCTCCAAACCTTTTTTTATCAATGCTAGCACCAATGGTCCCTCCCACGGCACTCTCTGCTTCTCTTCTGGGTTTGATGATTCATTGTCATGGCCACACACAACTCACAGACAGCGCTCACAATTATGGGATTTACTAGGGAAGTAACAGGTTGCAATTCAGGTTCAGGAACACTCAGGATACAATTCTTTGGTCAGAACAGCTTCTCAGCTGTGCCACATGCTTCTCTCAGGCCTTGGCATCTGCCCTTTTCAGGCTAGTATTACAAAGCTCTTTTAGTTCTGCCTTGACCAGAGAGACACTCCAGGAGGCAAGCCTCCTGCCCAAAAGCACTCAGCTTTCTCGCTTTGTGGGCCAGGAAGCCCAGCACCCTGACTTGTCTGGGTCTCTTGGTTCTGTTGCCTCTGCTGCTGCTATCTCTCTACCATCTCTCAGCCACCTCTCTGCTAAGGACATCCAGTGCAGGGATCTTGGGTCCAAAGACACACTCTACTACTGCTTCTACTTCTGTCTTGATGGTGGTTTTATCTCCCTTTTCTGCCTCTGGGAGGGCTCATTTTAAGCCAAGTAAGATGATAAAACTGGCCAATCCCCACATTAGGGTTCCATGCTCTGGTGGCGTAGTGCCTAAGGCATTTGCTAACCAGAGAGCTGGCGGTTCAAACCCACCAGTCACTCCTCAGAAGGAAGGTTGGGCAATCTACTTCTGTAGTGATACCACCTTGGAAAGCCAAGGAGGGGTCGCTATGAGTCTGATCCAACTGGATGGTTAGAGTTTTACACCTTATTTGCATGGTTCCATCCCCACAAGAGTGCCATGTACCTTTTCTACATTTTTAGCAAGGTATGCAATCGCTTTGGTAGGCCACAAGTGCCTCACATTCCTATAAGCACTCCAAGTCATCTGGTGGGGGTCACAGAGACCATAGCTAGAATAGCCATACTAAGTAATTCACTGCACCATACTTATAGAGTTTAACATACACATTCAATCAAAATATACAATAACAGTGTAAAATTGATAGGAAGGGTAAATAAAGTTAGAATATTCTAATATCATACCGTTGTCCAGGTTCTGATAAGTCAGGTTTTCCTGGCATAATCTCTAGAGTACAACCTAAATTAATTGTAAAGGATTATAACCAGCAAGATAATGGAGGGACTGTAGAAAATGGAATAATGTAAAATATTCCATAGAGAAAAGGCACCATGGAAGAGGAAGGACAGTTAAAAAGTAAATTACAAAACGTAGATTTAAAGTAAAATATATTAGTAATTGCAAAAAATGTAAATGTACTTACTGTTGTTGGGTGTTCTCTCTTAGAGACTCATGTGACAGAGTAGAACTACCCCATAGGGTTTTCTAGACTATGGTCTTTATAGAAAGAGATCACTAGGTCTTTCTCCCTCAGAGCTGCTTGGCGAGTTTGAACTGCCAACCTTTTGATTAACAGATCAAACATTAACTGTTGTGCCACCAAAGATCCTTAGAAATGTTCTAGGCTCCAGTTAAAAGATAACAATGACAACAATTATATGTTGCTTATAAGCAAGAATGGAACTAGGATGAGACAGTCAAGGCACCTCAGGTGTGACATTGAAGGAGGTGCTCACTCTCAGGTTAATGCAACTGCCAACACTGTATCTGGCCTATTTATAGCAGAGACCAGATACACCAAAAAGATAATAACATAGTATAATGAACAAAACATTTTATATTAGTGACACATTTTAAAATTTAGATGAAATGGAGTAGATGAAATAGAAAACATAAATACACATATTACCATGAAATTACATCAGCACTGTGAAAAATTATTCTAAAGAGAGTGAATGAGACCCATAGGGTTTCACAGGCGAACACTACCAAACAATCAAAGGAAAAAAATCATAATTATAGATTTACTAGTAGAAGAGCTTGAGTCCATTGTTGTGGCCACTGTGTATTTTGAGTACCCTCCAGTCTGCGGGGTCATCTTCTAGCACTATAGCTGACAACGTTCTGTTGTGATCCATAGGGTTTCAGTGGGTAATTTTCGGAAGGAGATTTTCAGGATGTTCTTTTTAGTCTGTCTTAGTCAGGAAGCTCCACTGTAACTTGTCCACCATGGAGGACCATGCTGATATTTGAAATACCAGTGTCATAGCATTACAGTGTTGGGCAAAAATGTACTCACCAGTTTGTTTAAGACAATAATTTCTATTAAAGTATATCATCTGGAGCAAATTTTGAATTGCACATCATGTTTGTGTAGGAATCCTGTCAATAAAATGCTAAATACAAAACTTACAGAAAACTAAGCAGGTGATAAAGCTTTCTACCAAGCATACCAATTAGTAATTGTATAGTAACAGATGCTTCTAAAGTGATAAAGTGTTTGCTTCCCCACCTGCCCTCTACCCCCACCCCCCTCCCCCCCCCCCCCCCCCCACCCCCTACCCCCAAGAGCAATTGAGTGGCTATCTCCAAGATCATCAGATATCTTTTACTGAAAGTTTAATTTCCTGAAGCTTTGATTTTGTGCTTTCTTATGCTAAAAGAGTGCTATCCTCCAAGCTGATTTGTGTTACAAAGATGCTCTAATCTATTATATTAGATTTGGTAAGACCCAGCCTTGGAGAGGGTGACACAGGTATAGGTAGAAAAACTATCCCACCATATATAGAATGAGCCAGGACACAGCATCATAAACTTCAACTTAATGGGAGTTCTGGTGGCATAGTGCCTAAGGCACTTGACTGCTAACCAGAAGGCTGGTGGTTCAAACCCACCAGCCACTCCTTGGAAGGGAGATTGAGCAGTCTACTTGCATAGTGATACTGCTTCTGAAACCCAAGGAGGGGTTGCTATGAGTCGGATCCGACTCAAGGGCAGTGAGTTTGGTTTATTTGTTAGTTTGTTTGTTTGGTTAAGCATTCCAAGAGTAGAAAGATGAGTTGCAGAGGATTAAGGGGGTAAGAGAATTATACATTATTTGGGTTATGCAGAAACTAAATGGCAGAAAATTCAGTCCTGGGTAGGATTTTGGAAGAACAGTTGGTGAATCTGGGTAAAATGGTATTACAGTTTTGAAAATAAAATTGAGAATTAACAGGCAGAGGTTGGAGGTAAGGTTATCAA